GTTAATATCCAAACAGGTACACCCAATCGTACAATCGTAGTGCAGCACCGTATGGAATTTTGGATCTTACGGCTTTTTCTTTGTTATAGCAGAATAAAACTAACAACGTTCTCTCTCGTGTTAGTGATGGCACAACGAGCTACGTCGTTGGACGTCCTCCAGAGAGTACACACAGTTCAACGAGTGTATCAAATAAACATGATTTGGAAGATTTGATGGCACAAAAAGATCATTGCATACAAGCGCAACCTTTACAGCTCGATGCATGGACGTCTAGGGCTCTACGTGAAAAAGAGGCAATCAATCGATATGCTGGAAAACATGGTCCCGACATTTGGAGCACAGTATGGAATGGTATTTGGATAGGTCGGGACGAAAACGAAACAAGAGACGAAGATGGTGAAGTTATTATGACGGTGTAGATTTGGTAATCAAAAAATGAATAAAAAGCATTGAGAAAGAACAATTTCGGGTCCGTTACTTTCCCTATCGAGGATGATCTGGAGCATCACCGTGTAATTGAAGTGCTCGCAAGAATCGATCATGTTCGTTTGAAAAAGTTTTGAAACTCTCAACCTTTGTTTTTCGCCATGGAGTCAATGATGTCGCAATTTCTCGATGCACTCTAACATTACATCCAGAGGTAATATTGCTGTTTATCAAAGTATCAGGTTTGTGACAACATCATTCATTATGCAGCTTTAATCAAACGTACATTGTGATATGATGTTCAGATCTTTCGCTCACATTTTTGCCATGATAAGCGCTACGACAAACGTTGTTGTTTCGGCCTGAAGCGACAAGTGAGACTTGTGATAAAGTTTCAAAATCTCCTCCATTTCGTATCTGTGCTCGATTCATCTTCATGTACTGTTGTCTCACTGTAGAATACAAAGCAACACGCTAAAAGCAAAGTCAGATTAAAATATCGAGACAAATTACAAAGGATTTAGTTACGGACTTGCTCCGGAAGCAACGTTGGTGCTTTACTCAAGACTTCTGGTGTCTCTATTTCATCATTTAAAGATTGTAAAGAACGTGAAATTACTGTCGAATGCAGTAATTCTTCTCGGATTCGTGCATCAAAACGCAAAATCTGTCACAATACTATTAGGATAATATATCCAGCAATGTCTATGAGACTTAATTTACCTTTTTGATATGTTTTTTTAAACGGCAAGTCTGAAAGAAAATGTATACATTAGTGATGGATTAAATATTAAAATTCTGTTTTTGGTATCAAACCTGAAGTTTCTCGTTCTGGTCTTCCAACTTCTGGAAAAATGGGCGTGTTGAGATTCGTACATCAGCAGTATTTTGTGTCTGTTGTAATACGTTTGTATTTGCAAACACTTTTGCACACTTTTCATCCTGCTTTCAGTGATCAGTCAGAACAAAAAAGAATTTTAAGTCAAATGTGCTCTTTAAAACTCCTGCACCAGGTGTCTTTGTTTTTCTTGAGCTTCAATACGATATTGTCGTTCGCGAGCGGATACACGTAGACAAATTTTGTTGTGAAATTGCTTCATTTCGTTTGATTGAATCCGGAGGCGATTATCCACTTTCTGACGCATTGATGCTGTTTCTGCCTGACCAACGAAACCAATTTAATTGATATCAAACATAAAATTTGTTTTGAGATAAATACTTCCATATCCACCAAACTGAGATCGATCCATTCGTCCTGATTTCTGAAAAGTAGTGTGATCAAGCTTCATACATTCTTCGTCATCAGAGTCTCTACTTACGGATCGAGTTGCCCACACAAGATATAGGCTACACGAAACTATAATCATAAAATGCATGCAAGATAGCATATTTGAAACGAACCAATTGGTGCATTCGAAAAAATCTTGGTATCTGCAGCTTCGTTCATTAAGTAGCAATTTGAAGATGGTCATGAAGAGACGCAATTTATTGCATGGCTACATTTATGAACGGACATTAAAACGAGCGATAGAACAGACGCAGTACTGCATTTTTAGGGCAACCTTACGCAATGCATGCAGAATGTCGATATCGACAATTGTAAGGGAAACACTGCTACTAGTGTTTAGCTCGCGGTTGAATACGTGCATTAAAGCATCTGGAACTTTCCTAGTTGTATCGACAAAAAGTTCAGCAAGAGCGTCTCAAAGACGAGATTGAACCATTGATGGGATAAGTACGTGCTCGAACATACTATGACATTTGTTGATGGTTTTCTTTCGCTCTTGCCATTTCACGAACGCTATTCATTGTATTTAGTAACAAGATTTTCTTCAAAAACACAATACAAGGCTGTGAAGATCAGTTCCTAACCATGTTGATCGATGCGCTGATCGAAGACGTGAAGCGTATTGTCTACTCTACTCGATCTCACAATGAAAGCGGATAATTGTTTCACCTTAGGGTTTTCCAAATAAATTGAAAACGTGCTATAGACTGCTGACAAAGGCCCACAGCTTACAATTTTAAGCGACAGATTCGTTTAGGTGAAATATGAGCTAGATAATGTTGGACTTCCTCATTAGAAATTGCACTCTGACTACACAACGTCGCTGTTGCAGCTGCAGCGATCGGTGTATTTGCTGTAATTATATCACTATTACCAAATATTTTAAAATTTGTATGACTGTACAACGGAACTTCCGGACAAGGACGATGGCTAGGGTAGCCTGGCAGGGTTTCCGAAGCTTAACTTGTCTGTATCTTCGTACAATTCTTACCAGATGAAGAAATTTGGAATGCACAGTGAAATTAAGCTAAAGAAAATTAGTTGAAATTTTCAATCGTAACATAATTTTCCGAAACGGATTTTTGCACCCAGCAAATTATTGAAAGTTCTCATTATACAGTGCAGAAATAGCAAAGGGTAAGAAAAACACGAAAAACTGTATGACTGACTTTTCAATTTTTCCCGAAGTACCAGATGGTATTGCGAAGCTAATAGTCAGCGAAGCGAACAAGCAATTGACTACTATCACCGATTATAATAAATAAGCGGCACTGCAGCCGTGGTTATTCTAGTTAAGAAATGTTTTCTTACAGCAGAATAATGTGATTATCAGTATGCTCAATCGTCGTCGCTGAGGTCGTCCAGTGCATTTCAACTTCGCTTTTGAATGACGCAAATTTTTTTTTACTTGTATATCATCCGTCTAAGTTTTGCCGGATCTCGTGAGTTTTAAATAGACATCAAAAATCGGTTTTGAATTGAGTAGACTGTTTGTGCACGTCTATCATCAGGAGGAATCACATCCCAAGATATACACTATCTCTTTCTCTGGCTATCTTCGAAGTCACATATATGTTGACAAGGTTGAATGGCGTGAAGCAGATCAGTTTGTGTTGATATTAAAGACGTAAATAAAGAACTACCATGTTTTCTCATCGTAGCAATGGCAACACGTGGATATCCTTGCAGCTGTTCACTTATTTCTACTCTTCTCCAAAGCCATAGACTGCATCCTCTGAATATAACAAGGTGCTAATCCCAGGTGGTTTCTCAGCACGATCGCTAAAAATTTTAAAGCTGCGCAAAAAACTGTCGCAGATTGACATGATCTTCGCTTCAGATCCTCACTACTATACTCCAATACTTCATTACCTCCGACAAAGCTGAGCATGAAGCTTTCTGTCACCTTTACATTTATTGCTGTGACCGTCACATCATCTTGTGCTACAGCCTCTGTGGTCGATAATCACCACGAAAACGCTATCATTTATCATCACAATGCTTTACCGTGTACTGACGCACTATGTGATGATGACTACTCTCCTGTGTGCGGTTTCGACAACAAAACTTACCCGAACGCGTGCATCTTTCAGGCGACTTATTGCCGATCTAATGTCACGATGGCGTATTTTGGGCCTTGTCGTGAAAGGTTTGAAGATAACCAGCGGGCACACTCGTCAGCATCGGCTTCTTCATTAAACGAGAAAACGCCGTTGGTTCGCGACCGTGCTCATTCAGCCAACGAAGAACGGGGTTCATCTGTTTATCCTGAGTCAGAAATACTGAATGTTGCCTGGAGTTTGCAACAACTAGATAGAATGAATGAGGCGATTAACGGAGGGTATAATCTAAATGAACTCATGCAAAGAGACATACATCCTTACACCTACCTCAAGGTGTTGCATGACCGTGACAACACTTGGGATAAGAAGTTGCTTAGAACTGTCGGATCGATAATTAAGGGAGGAGAGACACGACTTCCTAATGCCGTGGATGAAATAGTGAACGAGCCAGGTGAATAGAAAATCAAACGTCTCATCGCACAGCTTTCAAAGTTATCGAAGGGAAGGTATAACTCTTACGCCAATTTCTTTAAGAACAGAAGACATGTCCACGTGATATACGATCAAGACTAATAACTTCGTGTCGAAGACGGATCTTGAGGTCATAGCGTCATTTACTCTGCTAACCACTACTCTTCTGTTGAAAATCTGGGCCAACGAACCCAAATAAAGAACTGCCATTCAAAAAGCTATATTTATATAGAAACTTTATTTAATTGATTTCATTTACAATATCTTTATCCTAAAATATGACTATTTTATAATAAACAGTTTTTGAAAATACATTTCCATTTTCTTAGGATTCAAACTGCGTGGCTGCTGTCTCCATTCACCTCCTGTCAGCTCGACATTAATTCGACCTCTTCTTAGTCTGTCCTTATCGCTTTGCTCGCCATGCTGCTCAATTTCATTAGTAAGAACTGAAATCCTTCTAGCCGAACATTACTACTGCCAAATATTTATAGATTCATTCCGCTGCAAGTAGTCGGAGCGCCAATGTCGATGCTGAAACGTGATCATGGCGTGGTGTCACCTTCTATAAGTCTTTGCCATTTATTGGCGATGATTTGCAAGCCGCAAACCATGTTAGTGCTGTTGCAAAGTACTCGCCGGTGCACGAACGAACATTGGATACGACGAGTATGCTTAAAGTCGCTGATTCATTTCATCTTCAAAAATAAGTTTCACCGAAAAAGAAAGCACATGAGTGAGAAAAGGCAGGATATAATGGAAAGATATATGATCGAGTTTAGTCTCAATAGCATATCGCTGCGTGGTAGTAGTACGTGTTGGAAACAAGTTAAGTGGTACCTAAGTAAACCAGGAGGAGTTATGAAACTCCCAACGATTTGCATAATTAGCTAGCTATAAGCATCATACATTTACTTCGAAACTTACCTTCAAACCACCAGGTCCTTCCTTCCTATCTGAAATATGCAGCACTTTTGCGCAGGGGTAGCGTATCGGGCCACCTATTTTGTTCAACAGTACGACCAAAAACAAATAACATCGCATGCTAAAAGTCGTGCTCCACCTGGAGCATATATCTTCCTCATCAGGTTGTATTCCTCCACAATTCAACACTATTTGCAAAAGCAATGTCAGGATGTCAAAGTTGAGTCTTGAGTTTTTGAATAAATGTGGACAAGGTCGTCAGCATCGGCTATTAAACCATATCTTGGCTTCGTGACTGTGCTCATTTGAATGTAGCTGACAAAGAGCGAGGACTCGATCTTGGTTTTGATCTATCTGAAAAAAATGATCTCCAGAGTTCGAGTTCTTTTTCACGTTACGTACTAATTAGATTATGCTCAAGGAACAAAAGTCAAAGAGAGCTAGAAGCCCAGCCGTTGCTAATTCTATGCTCTGGGCTGCGAGTACGGTGCGAGTTTAATTGATGTAGCTGTTCCAGTGAAGACAATACAAATAGCTGCGTCTGCGTTTAGTATGTTCGTCTTAAAGAGGCCACTTTCCGCGAAGAACTTTCATGGGATTTCATCAAAGCTTACTAAGACTACTGCATAAAGTCAGGTTTTTCTGCCGCATCGATTTTAAGGTGAGCTACTGCGCAGATATACGTCACTCATCTTGTCATCGCGAAAATACAAACCACTTCGAGCTTCATAAATTATGATACTTTGGTATTTCTGAAACACACTAAAGTGCAATGTGAATCTCGTAAGGTTATACAGTATTGTATTCATTGCAACTGTAACAAATGTGTACGCTATACATACACAAAACTACAATACAGATACTGTTGGAGAGTACTCACAAGTTACATTATTGTCCATCAGCTCATGTCACGTCAGTACTGTTTTAAAGGAGGGTGGTTTAACATGTTGTTGAAGTGGTTTGTGAGGTTGTAGTATTGTGTGTGGTGCGAAACACATATTTGATATTTGTTTAACTTTAATCAAATCCTGAATATACGTCACAAATGAAGCGTTTACTTTGCAGGCTCTCACTTTCGCTCCTGTGTGAAGCGAACAAATGCATCCTCTGTGCGTTTGCTCAACGGTTATTTAGCCCACGGTGCTACGCAACCCTCTTGAAGTTGATAGCACCTTTCGTCAACTCGAGAACTGTAACGGGGTTACACATACCCTGGTAACAGGTGTGTTTGTCACACCAGATGGGTATGGTGTGACCACACCCAACGAAGAATACGGTACAGGGCTGGATAGCCAGTAGTTATACATGTGCTTAGATTTTACTATACATATTTAGAAAAAACTATGCATTAAGAATAAGTTGGCTTTGCCAAATGAAATAATCAGTTTTGAATTTAAGCCAAAGAGATTATAAGCCTTAGTTAAGGTTCTAACTACTCTTGGAGGTAGCGGATTGCGATCCGCTACACTCGTACTTGTTCTTGTAAAGAACGAAAGGTCGGTGACCTAAATTTCGCTTCCTCAAGCGCAAAGCTACGGCAGCCCCGCTGCACTTGGTAGCACTTATAGTCAATCTACACCTGGGTCGTTTAGTCTAATCCTCTGTGAGGATGGAACAACTTTCCTCGTTGCCTCAGGACATGCAGGACGGGCTTAACAAACTGATGTCCTTGCTTGGCCCCAAGTGCGTGCAGCACCTTGCTGCGCAAGACCCCGAGGCAGCGTCTGGAAGTGTTTCGAAATTACGAAAACGCGCTGCTAGAGCACCTGCAGCAGAAGATGCCTGCATCGTTTGCGTCGATGACGCCACGGTCAGTAACGGAGAACTTATCCCGCCCAAAGCCGTTCATGGTGAGTGTTAAGGTCTTTGAGGGGAAGGATGGAGAGAATCTCCTGCTCTGAGTGAGAGAGGTCGAGATGGCCATCGTATCCACCATGCTCCAGATCGAGCAACAACGCGTGGCGCTAGCCATTTCAAAGCTCGGTGGTCAAGCTCAAGACTAGGCACTGATGAGCGGCACTTCGTCGAAGCTGCGTTTCCCTGCTGGGTGAAGCTGAAATTGCAGCTCTCACGAGTTTTCTCGCCGCCTGACCAGGCGAATCGCGTGCGATCGCGTTTCCTTGTCGCCCGACACGGTAACTAGGAATTGATGGACTCTGTCCAAGAGATGCGCACTCCCATTGCCGTGATGGCAGCAGATCCCCTTCCGGATGTGGTCACAGTGACCGTGTTTATGGAAGACCTCCGCACTGGCGTGGCCAAATTTTAAGTCTTTCGTGTGCATCCGTCTGAAGAGGCGGTGAATGTGGCATTGAATGCCAAATTCAATTTCAAGTCGGCACGACTGGGTTGGAACGCACACTTCAACAGCTCGTTGAGCGGGTCTGTGCCCATGGATCTCATATGCTGAGGACGAGGGAGCAGAGCTCCGAGCTGCCAGGCAGCATACACATTTATAACGGTGTTTTGTCTGTGGAGACACTCGTCACCTTCGGAACGGTTGTCCCTTCCGCAAAACGCGTCAAGGTTCTTCGAACCATCGCCCCAACGCCTACCAGTCTGATTCGTCGCGGGGAAACGACACCACTCAGTAAGCGGGGCAACCTACTGGGAAATTACTGAGTTCTGTTGAGCCTCAGGGAGGCATCGGGCAACAGGGCTCAGCCCCGAAGAGCTCCGTGCTCTTAAACACGGAACGTGTGTGCAAGTCGGGCTTGCTGTTCGTGGATGTGACCGTAAAGTGCTTCGAGAAGCCATGAACGATCCTCATAGATTACGGGGTGTCGAGCAATTATGCTCGATACTCCACCATGGAAGGAAGTCAGCTGTATGCTGAGGCGCTGAAAACGCGGTTGGGTGACACCGTCACTGTTCGTCTAGCGAATGGGCGCGTGTCACGGTCCTGAAGGTCCCTGTGGACCTCGGAGTCATATTTTTTGACTTTGATAGCGTGGAACGCTGTCTAGGCTTAGACTTGGAGGTAAGGTATGACCTCATCCTAGGAATGGCATGGTTGGAACAATATGAGCCATGGTTTGATTGGAGGTCAAAGACCTTGGGCGCTACGCGCACGTCTCCTGTTGGATCTTTGTCGAGTCGTGAACCTACCTCTGCCAGAAGACAAAAACGCTATTGACGAGCGCACTGGACCGAGGCGGTCAACGTGCTAGACATTGGAATCTCCGAGTTGGTAGACACCAGCGGTGTGTCGGGCAGGAGTCCCGAGCATTGTTCGCGGGCAGATCGTGGAGTGGCACGTAACCCACTGAGCACTGCCCAAGTTTTGGAGCAGTCGCTGCATGTCATGTAGCCGTATCAAGTGGCAAGAAGGAGTACTTTTGGCTGCTGGCTTTCTTCCAGAGCATCAGAGCAAATAGATTGAAGGCAAAGTTGAAGATAATCGATCTGCTTATGCTTAGCCACATAAATCAAAAGCAGAAGATTTACTTGTTTTCCATCACTTTTTGATTCAACAAGTCGCTGCGAATGACGTTAAGAGCGTCAACAAACTGCTATTTGCCAATGTCGAAATTGGTGTCACAGATGCAGCAACCGGAGGATCATTATTGCATTGGGCAGCGTCATGTTATGCGGTAGATTTCATGAGGTTTCTACTCGAAAGGAAAGATGTGAAGCATAGGAAGCTTATAAACGCTCGTAATGGCGACGGAGCGAGTCCTTTACATTTAGCATGTCATGCTAATGACGTGGAAATAACGTCTATGCTATTATTAAGTCATGCAAATGTGTTTTTGAAAGGTGAAAGGGGGTTAGTAAGGATAAACAGCACTAGAACTTGCTACTACGCAGGAGGTCAAAGACGTGTTCTTGCGAGAATCGTAACAAATGTACGTCTAAAAAAAGATGAAATTTTTCATGCAAAAAGAGATTTAAGTCAGTGAGAAGGCAAAAAAGACGAAATGGTGTCGTGCAATGTCGCAGTTAGAGATACTGAAAAACGAGAGATTATACTTCGCGATCAGAATAGTAAATTACACTCGCAACTGGAAGAGAAGGATCTTCTCGTCAATCAACTAAAGAAGACAATATATGCAATGGCACAAGATTTACAAGAAGCTCAAATGCTTGGTGAACGCGTGATGCTTGACTACGTCCGAAAGTTGCGGGATGAAAAGATGGTTGTCCAACGACAGTTGGAAGATGTCATGGATACATTAAAGACCAATCTCAACAATTGGAGAGTTTAAAGACGCAAATTCGGGAGATGTCTATAATATTCAAACAGGTACACCCAATCGTACAATCGTAGTGCAGCACCGTATGGAAATTTGGATCTTACAGCATTTTCTTTGTTTTAGCAGAATAAAATCAACAACGTTCTCTCTCGTGTTTGTGATGGCATAACGAGCAACGTCGCTGGACGTCCTCCAGAGAGTACACACAGTTCAACAAGTGTGTCAAATCTGCATGATTCCGAAATTTCGATGGCACATTAAGCTCATTGAATAAAAGGGCAACCTTTACAGCTCGATGCATGGAAGTCCTACAGTAAAACCTGTCTAAATTAAACATGTTGGGATTGGAGAACAGTGTTTAATTTAGAGAGGGTTTCGAAATAAGGGAGGGTAGCATAATTATCAAAAATTCCCTAACCCAGGCTGGGTATATTTAGACAA